GGAATTTTCCTCAAGTGCCTGAGGAAAACTACCAAATAAAAATCAGTCAGGACAATCGGTGTCCCGGTCGAGATTTGAACCGGGAATGTCCCGAATAAAAGTCAGAAGTATTTGCTTCTTTCCATTCTTTGTCTGAAAAAGGAGAGACGGACGGACAGAAACTTCCTATATTTTATTATCTAGATAATGTCCAAAGATCCTCTCATAAAAGTATTAATTTACAGACACAGGCCTTCTGAGTCACCTAACTACAACTGCATTCTCCAGTGAATTACGTGGCGGGCAGTACAAAGGGGCTCAAAACCACTGGAATGTTTAGACAGCAAACCAAAGTTCATTTTGAGCCGAGAAGACGATCGTCAGCTTAGTTCTGTTTCGTTAAGCATTATTTTAGGCCTGTGTCATGTTCCATTCTCAAGCTTTGGTTAACCTTACCAGAAACTGGGATTAGCCATAGAGAAAGAAACATCGGTATCAACTACAGACGAGATGAAGTGAAATAAAAGTCGTCATGCGCCATAGCTCAAGCAGTTAGTCGCTGGCTCCCCACCGCGGCGGCCTAGGTTCGATCCCGGGTCTGGTCAAGTGGGATTTGTGGTGGATAAAGTGGTGCTGGGGCAGGTTTACTCCGAGCACTTCGGTTTCCCCTGCCAATCTTCATTCCACCAATTGCTCCACAATCACCCTCACCTATCATCTGGGGCTGGTACAATAGGCCAGAAGTGGCCGCAGTACAAGGGCCTTAGTCCCACCCCACTAACATAAAAAAAAGTCGTCCTCATGACTACTGGTGCATAATGCTATACGTATACGAGAGTAGATGTATAACTCCATGTATTCTTAGCCTCGGCACTGGTTACAGATAAGGGGTCAGTTTCATGCCCCGGTCCCTTTACTCTCCGAGAGAAGACCCCTCAAATGCCCAGTGGATAGGAGACTGGAAAGGTCCCAGAGCATTTGTGGAAACCGTGGAAAAGAGAGATATCTCCATCGGGAAATGAAGCCCGATTCCCTTTTGCCGATGAAATATTTTCATGGAATAACATTATTTTTTGTCTGTTTTTCAGTCACAACACTATATGCAAAATATCCAAATTAATCAATACCATATTTCAGGGATGGATCTTGAAATCAAGTACAGTGTTAGAAAGCTCACCTTCATGTCATGCTCTGCATTATACCTACTTGGTATTTCGTCTTTGTTGTTGTATAACTCAAGAATGACGTTTCACGAGGTTATATAAAGGCAAAGAAGCAGCTTCATCACAGCTATACCAGAAACATGTCGAAACTTCCTTCAGACAAGCCGGAAAGTCAATCAGAGGAAGATCAGTATACGTCTCTTTCAAACCAAAATCTGTTGAAACATCAATTAATTCTTCACATTATCTTGCGGTTAATCCTTGTTCTGCTAGAGGGAACATGGATGGATTGCGTGCCCACTAAAACTGGTTTGCTTCTGGTATAAAATACCTGTTTAGTCTCGTAAATATTTCATTGTCTGGACGAACACAGTCACTGACCTGAAACGCAAAATCGGTATAAAACAATCCGCTGCAGCTTAACAGCCAGGGCCTTCCCCCCCCCCCCCCCC